AGGAGCCGCTGCAGCCTCCAGGAGCCGGGATCCAGAGGAGCCGCTGCAGCCTCCAGGAGCCGGGATCCAGAGGAGCCGGTTCATCCTCCAGGAGCCGGGATCCAGAGGAGCCGCCGCAGGCACCGAGCGCTCCCGCAGCCCCGGGGCCAGAGCAGCGCTCGGGTTCACCCGGCTCGCTCCGAGCTCATCACAAGAACCGCGCGGTGCCGCTGTGGATTTGCAGAGGAAGGCTGTCGTTCTGGTTGGGAACGGCGATAAAGAACGACACGGACTCTCAAGGGAGTCACAACAGGAGAATCTCTCCAGTTTATTGCTCTAGGCTTGTCTTATAGACAGATACGTGGAAAGTACAGAAAGGAAACTCTTACTGGTTAGCAAAGTGCTTCATCACCATCATTGTTCAGGGGCTCACCACCCCCCTGACTCCCTCCTGCAAGGACAACAAGAGGACAGACAAACAGCACCTGGCAGTTGTTTTCTGTCTCTGAGGATTGTTTTGAAATCCTCCCATGAATTTCTCAGGCTAGCTCTCAGGCAGGACTGAGAGGCCCTGGGCCTGCAGCCTGGGACGGGAAGCTGGAGCTGATCTCCCCCTTGAGAATCCAAACTCGAATCTGCAGCACGCTGAGAGGACACGGAACCCCCTGGAGATAAATGAGATTTTTCCTTCTCGCTGAGTCCGGCTGAGAACTGCAAAACATCGGGCAAAAGCCCAGCCCAGGGAAATGTGAGCTGAGAGAGAGAGAGAGCTGCTGCTGCCTCCAGAGCCAATGCACCCCTGGAACTGCTGGAAATAAAATCAGAATTTTAACTATTAGGTCCTTTGAGTTAATACCAGTTTAATTAAAAATGAATACAATTTAGTAAATTGAATAGTAATTCCGTATAAAAGAATACAGTATGGTAAAAGAATACAATTTAGTAAAATATTACAATTTATAGATATAAATTGGTAATTAATTATAATGAATTATAATTCATTATATATTATATGTTATACATTATATATCATATTAATTATATATTACATATTATATAATTTGGTAATTAATTATAATTAATTATATATTATATGCTATATATTATATAATATATAGAATATTATTATATATTACATATTATATAATTTGGTAATTAATTATAATTAGTTACATATTATATTTATGTATTATATATAATATACAATATTAATTATATATTACATATTATATAATTTGATAATTAATTATAATTAATTATATATTATATGTTATATATTATATAATATATATAATATCATTATATATTAAATATTATATAATTTGGCAATTAATTATAATTAATTATATAATATATGTTATATATTATATAATATATATAATATCATTATATATTACATATTATATAATTTGGCAATTAATTATAATTAATTAGATATTATATGCTATATATTATATAATATATATATCATTATATATTACATATTATATAATTTGGTAATTAATTATAATTAATTAGATATTATATGTTATGTATTACATATAATATATAATATTAATTATATATTACATATTATATAATTTGGTAAGTAATTATAATTAATTATATATTATATGATATTAATTATATATTACATATTATATAATTTGGTAAGTAATTATAATTAATTATATATTATATGTTATATATTATATAATATATAATATTATTATATATTACATATATAATTTGGCACTTAATTATAATTAATTATAATTAATATACATAATAAGTATATTATATAATCTACTTATTGTGTATATTAATATACTTAATAAGTATATTATATAAGTATAATACACTTAAGTAATTAAGTATAATTAAAGCATAAACAAACCAGGGGTAGGGGGAGGGCGTCTCACCCCACCTCACATATAAAATAAAACACTTTAAGTTAAACTTATATGTTGTGTGTTTGTACATATTCATTAATGTAAATTAATCTGTAAAGGGGTGAAATCTGTAACACTGAGTCCTGTGATCACTTCTAATAAGAACTTTAATAACATTTTAATATCAATTAATAACTTTAATAGCATTTTAATAACAATTAATAACTTTAATAGCATTTTAATATTAATTAATAACTTCAATCGCATTTTAATATCAATTAATAACTTGAATAACATTTTAACAACAATTAATAACTTGAATAACATTTTAATATCAAATAATAACTTTAATAGCATTTAATAACAATTAATAACTTTGAATAACATTTTAACAACAATTAATAACTTTGATAACATTTTAACATCAATTAATAACTTGAATAACATTTTAATATCCGTTAATAACTTTGATAACAATTTAATTAGCACCAATCAATTCCATTTATTGCAGATCCGCCCCGGTACCTTCCCTTCCCTTCCCAGCTCCGTGTTCCCTCCTGCGCCTTCATTCAGAACCAGGATTGGCCTGGGGTCCTTGTGATGATCAATTTTATCCCCATTCATCACCCAGCCCAGAAATCGGCTCTGTACCCTTAAAACTTCATCTGAGAGTGAAAGTGAGGGACAAGCACCGAAAGTGAAAGTGAGGGAGA